CAGGAAGAAGCGGAACTGGAAGCGGATCCTGTCGCCGGGGGCCGCCGCCCGCACCCAGAGCCGGCAGTCGGTGTCCGGGGCCACGAAGTAGAAGCTGCGCGACGCGGGGTGCGAGCGCAGCAGCAGCGCGTCCCCCCGCCGCGTGCGCCCGCACAGGTCCACCAGGTCGGCTGCGGGGAGGGCAGGATCCACGCCTGACGCTGCGCGCCCCGCTGTGCCCCCCCAGGCAAGCCGCGCGCCCCCTCCGGGCCTGTTTCCTCATCGCTAAGCTGGGGTGGTTCCGCCATCGGAATGGGTGTGACGATTACGTGACTCCGTTTCACTCGCACCCACGCCTCCTTCTTCCAAAGCCCTGGGATGTGTCTCAGAGCCTTCCAGACCTCGGGAAGATAATGTGATGTCTATACAGTCTCTTATGTTGCAGTCTCGAATGGAGTCTGCAGCGACTTTCCGAGATGTGACGGTCTCTAGAGCGAGCGCGTGAACGTTGGCCCTGCGTGGAGTCCATCAAGACAAGAAGCAGCGCCTGTCAGCCCAGGTCAGGTGCTGCCATTCGATCGGGTGAGAACAGCCTGGTTTTTGGAGGATGTGTGTGCTGGAAGAGCAATTGAAGGGCCGTGGACAGGCATGGGCACAGGACCTAGGACAGGGCCTGGCATTTAGTGAGTGTTCTAGAAGCCTTAGCTGCTGCCATCTTATTCAGGGCTGAGTAGACACATGTGGGTGCCTGCCCACCCAGCAGCCAGGTTTCTTCTTGCTAAAACAGCTGCGGCTTGTGATCCTAATTCTCTTTGCCAGGCTTAGGGATGGGCATGTGACCTGGATCTAGCCCATGAGATTTAAGGAGAGGTCCTCCCTGATTAAGGAAGAAGGAGAGCTGTGTCTTGAGGATCCCCTTTTCTTTGCTTTTGAAAGCTACGGGGGAGTATGTGATGTCCAGAGCAGCAGCAGCCCACTTGCAAGGTTGAGGTCATGAGAATTACAAAGACACTGACACCGGTGAGCTGCTGAACTAGCCACCTCTGGAATCACCTACAGCCATTCTTCTTAAGTGAAGTAATAAATGTCCTGTGTGGTTTCAACACCATGTAGTTGAAATCTGTTACTTAACATTCCTTAATATCCTCATTGGTACAGGGATGTTGTGAAGATGAAGTGAGATCTTGGGTAAGTGCTCACAGTAGCTCTGATTTGGGTAAGGACAGAGAGAGAAGAGGAGTAGGTTTCTTGGTGAAGGTAGGACCACCAGGATGTGGGTGTCCAGGGATGAAGTCCCTCACCAGGGTGCAAGATGTGGGAGCGTCTCCCCATCTCTGGGACATACAGGGTAGGGTGGAGTTTAGAGAATGAGGAATCAGGCACTTTTTGTGTGCCAGGCACTGTTTTGCATGGTCTAGCTCAACTTACATGCACAATAATAATAGTCCCGGGGTGGGATTGGCAGTTGAGGGCAACTGCTAGGGGAGGGAGGGGCATACCTCATCAACAAGGGTACCTGCATGATCAGTGTTTATATACCTAACCCTGAACTATACCCCACATCTTTATAATAAAAAGGTTTTAAAATAAATTAAAAAAATGATAGTCCCTTAAAGAGGCAAAGGCTTATTATTCTCATTTTACTGTCAAAGAGACTGAGACTTAGGGTGCTGAAATAATGATCTCAGGGCACAAACACAGGAGTGGCAGAGTGAGTGTGAATGCAGGGTTCTCTGACTCCAGAGCCCACAGTATTTCCCTTTGTAAGGTGTGAGGACTGTCCTACCCACCCGCAAACCCTTGCTTCTGGGTGACTTGGAGTTCCAGCCTTCCAGAAGGACTTGGGGTGGAGCAGACTTGGGGGTACCAGTCAAGACCAGGCATGGTTTCCCAGCCACCCCCAACTCCATAGGTCCCAGCCCATGAGGCTGAGTGCTGACTGGGGAAGCACATCTCCAAGGGCAGTGAGTGCCCAAGTCTCCCGGGTGCCCCAGCCAAGCCCCCTCACACTCACCTGTCTCCAAAGCAGACACAGTCAGGGCGACCACGCCCAGCAGGAGAAACCTTTGGGGCAGCAGCAGAAGACAAGCCTCCATCCGTGCTCTGCTGTGCCCAGCAGTGAGGCAGACCTGCAGAATCTTCAGTTTGGGGTTTTGGAAGGGGCTGGAGTGCAGGGGCTGGAAGCTGGCAGGACACAGTCTGCCAGCTCGTCTGGTCTCTTCACGTGGGCTTCCTGCTCCAGATCCTCCTCCTTTGGGTCAGCATTGTGTCCAGAGGTTGCCATGGAGATCTGGGGCCAGGGCTGGAGCCTTGGGAGAGAAGGCGAGGTGGATATCCACTCACCCCTTGCCAGACAGGAACCAGGAACTCAGATCCGGCTCAGCCATGGAGCCCCTCAGATCCTCCCTAGATGAGTTGGCGCCTTACAGGCTGAGCTTGGGGGAGGTCTGGGTCACCAAAGCAAGTGCTGAAAGAGCACAGGCCAGGAGTCAGCTCTGTTACTAGCGATGTGTTCCAGCCTCCAGGCCTTTGCACCCATAGTTCCCGCTGCCTGGAGTGCCCATCTCCCACAGCAGTCCGTGCCTGACTTCTTCAGGTCACCAGCTGCAGCTCACGTGCCTCCCCACAGACCACGCTTCCCTGACCGCCTCTCAATCTAAATGAGTGCTCTCCCTCCTGGTCACTCCATCACATCTCCCCGAATTTCCCAGCTCAGCACTCTCTAGAATTATTTATTTCTTGTCCATTGGCCCCCAATAAAATTATGTTCCGTGAGTGTCCTGTTGACCTCTGCACCCCTAGGTTATAGCACAGTGGCTGGCACAGAGCAGGCGTCCAGGAAATAATGAAAGAATAAGTGTGTGACCTTGAGCAAGTTATCTCCCTTTTTCTGGATTTTACTTCCCCCATGTGTAAAATGAAGAGTTTGGACTAATTAAGGCTTTTCTAAAGCATGTTCTTAGTAGAACAATTTTTTTCAAAAGGTACCTCACAAGGATTCTTAATATATACTACTGCAACTTTTCAAGCCTCAGTATCTTACTCTCTAAAATTGGATGATAGTTCCAACTACATAGTTACACCATAAGAACTGAGTAACTTAATACAAGTGGGCTGCTTAGTGTCTGTCATATAGTGAAGTGTCCAGTGCGTGTCAGCTTGAATGCTGACCATCAACGTCATTATTATCATTTAAACAGAATTCCTGGGAAAGGTTTCAAGTGTTGGGGAGGAGATACACCAGCCTCTAGTTGTCCCTGAGACACCACCTTGCACTCCCAGGACTCCACGAGAAGGTGACACCTCTGGATCTGAGCCTCCCCGATGACTGTCCCTTCTGGGACCGGTGTTCTGCGCAGCCTTGACTCCTACTGCGCAGCCTTGACTCCTAGGCCCTGGGGGACTCAGGACTCAACTCTGCCCTTGGCAGCAATGAGTTCGACCCATCACTGCTCACTGCCTAGAGTCACAGAGTGATTAAGTTTTTTTTTTAGCCAGGCGCAGTGGCTCACACCTATAATCCCAGCACTTTGGGAGGCTGGGGTGAGAGGATTGCCTGAGCACACGGGTTTGAGACCAGCCTGGGCAACTTGTCGATACCTCATCTCTACAGTAAATCAAAAAATTAGCCAGGCATGGTGGTGCACACCTGTAATCCCAGCTACTTGGAAGGCTGAGGCGGAAAGATCTCCTGAGCCTGAGTCCAGCAGATTGAGGCTGTAGTGGCCGTGAGCATGCCACTATACTCCAGTTTGGGCGACAGAGTGAGACTCTGACTCAAAAAAAAAAAAAAATTTTTTTTAAGTTCCCATCATTTGCATGGGATATTTTTATAAAATTTGCAAAAGAACAGGCATAGACTTTCAGTTTTGCAAGACAAGAAATTTCTAGAGGTCTGCTGCCAATAATGTGAATATATTTAGCACTACTGAACTGTGTACTCTTAGAAATGGTGAAGATGATCAATTGTATGTTGTGTGTTTCTTACCACAATTTTTTTAAAATTTCACAAACAAGGTAGTCATAGTACAGACACCGTCTCTACAGAAATAAATGCATACATACATAAATCCATTTAACCACAGTCAGCTGAGACCTCTTTCTCTTTCCACCCTAACCCCTCCTCCATCACACCCCACTTCATGGCAGGGGCCACAGGCATTTTGGAACCTAGCTGGGGGAAGTTGATTTGAGCTTGGTTTGGGGGAGAATATATTTATGGGCTTCTGGCTCCTTGCAGATGTAGTTAGGTTATTGTTCGTTGCCCCAGATAGCTTCCAGGAAGATCCTAACACCCTCAGTGCTGTCTTCCTCAGCCTTGTGATATGGTGTGAATCAGAGATCATAGGATGCGCAGCCCCAGGAGTAGGGGGTATTGGAGGACAAATAAAGTTTGAAATGTATGAAGCCAGGAGACGTGGGTGGAAAATCATTCCAAATATTATAGCTCACAAATGCCAGAGATTTGATAAAGGTTATACTAAATTTAACAACAACTCTTAAGAGTATAAATAACCTCACCACCAATGAATTGCAAAGCTGAAGAAAGAAAAGTCTAGACTATCATTAATAAGAAACTAATTTTGATCATTCTTGCTAGAGGAAAAACAGAATTATCTTTCTAGTCCTGCTATTAAAAATATCATACAGGGCCAGGCTTGGTGGCTCAGCCTGTAATCCCGCACCTTTGGGAGGCTGAGGTGAGTGGATTGCCTGAGCCCGTGGGTTCGAGATCCGCCTGGGCAACTTGGTGAGACCTCATCTCTACAATAAATCAAAATGAGCCGGGCGTGGTACACACGACTGTAGTTCCAGCCACTTGGACGGCTGAGGCGGAAGGATCGCCGGAGCCCAGCAGGTCGAGGCTGCGGTGGCCGGGAGCGGCCACTGCACTCCAGTCTGGGTGACAGAGTGAGACTCCAACTCAAAAAAAAAAAAAAAGAAAAAAAAAATATATATCATACAGGTGGGGTGTAGTGGCTCATGCCTATAATCCCAGTACTTTGGGAGGCCGAGACAAGAGGACTGTTTGAGCCCAGGGGTTTGAGAACAGCCTGGGCAACACAGCGAGACTTCATCGCTGCAAAAATAAATTTAAAAATAAATAAATACGCTAGGTGTGGTGGCATGTCCCTGCAGTCCGAGCTACTTGGAAGACTGAGGCAGGAGGATCCCTTGAGCTTAGGAATCCAAGGCTGCTGTGAACCATGATCACGACACTACACTCTAGCCTGGACGACAGAGCAAGACCCTATCTATAAAAAAAGAAAAGAAATAAAATATCATACAGTTGTCACATAAGTGATCAAAAAGTCTGTAGCCAAGCTGTGGGCAGTGGTATGAACATGTAGTCCAAGCTACTCAGGAGGCTGAGGTGAGAGGATTGCTTGAGCCCAGGAATTTGAGGCCAGCCTAGGCAATATAACGAGACCCTGTCTCTAAAAAATAAAAAGTGTGTAGCCAAAAAAGAGTATGAAAAAAAGTATTGTAGGAGAGCTTTAAGCAGTTAGTTAATAAAATTGGATTATTATTTTAGATTTTTATACTGTTTGTGGCATTTGTCAATTTTTTCAAACTTCAAAATGGTTGTAATATTTTTTTCTCTTTCAAAATAAATATTGGCTGGGCTTGGTAACTCAGTCTGTAATCCCAGTACTTTGGGAGGCCGAGGCAAGTGGATTGCCTGAGCCCAAGGGTTCAAGACCCACCCAAGCAACTTGGCAAGACCTCATTTCTACAATAAATCAAAAATTAGCTGGGCGTGGTAGCGTGTGCCTGTAGTTCTGGCTACTT